TTCAAAGGTTGCTTATTTGTAAAGATCTCGTAAATTACTTTTTTTTTTGTTAAGAGCAGTTACAACCAGTTGTCATTTTATAAATTGTGTATATTTTCAAGCCGCCCTGTTTCTTCTCCAGCCTACAAAAATCATTGCAATAATCCACAAGAATAAGATGAATATTAAATAATATTGATTTCTGAAACTGTTCTTAACAAAAAAAAGTAATCTACAAAACCATACATGATAATGAATTTTCCCAGTTTGTTATAAAAAAAGGGCCAAAGCTAGTTCAAATATCAGAAAATTCAGATGAACGTAGAAATGAAAATGATTCGTTCAAGAATATCAGAATAACATCATATCAATCAATGCTAATGTNTTTGCTGAAACTGTTAAATAATAAATTGTAAGAGAACAGAATCATACATTAAATTAACGTTGTATTTAATTATTGTATTTAATATGAGCATTGTTAAGAACGAGTTCAAATTTGGTCTTTTTGGCACTCTCAACACGACACGCAAGAATGGCACAATTACATAGAAGACAAACACTTTGTGCCCTGAAGATGATCTCAATAAAGATCGATAAAACACGATAAAGAAAATGTTTTTCTGAAACCTATCACACCCGACGGCATCTCACGATTTCTGAATAATTTTCGACTAACAGTCACCAATCATCACACATTTGTATTTAATTGTTTTTATTCCAAAGGTTGCTTATTTGTAAAGATCTCTTAAATTATTTTTTTGTTAAGAACAGTTACAACCAGTTGTCATTTTATAAATTGTGTATATTTCCAAGCCGCCCTGTTTCTTCTCCAGCCAACAAAAATCATTGCAATAATTCACAAGCATAAGATGAATATTAAATGATATTGATTTCTGTATGCTGAAGAGAAAGCAGGGCGGCTTGGAAATATGTACAATTTATAAAATGACAACTAGTTTAACTGTTCCTAACATAAAAAAGTAATCTACAAAACCATAAATGATAAAGAATTTTCGCAGTTTGTTATAAAAAAAAGGGCTAAAGCTAGTTCAAATATGAGAAAATTCAGATGAATGTGGAAATGAAAATGAATCTCTCAAGAATATCAGAATAACATCATATCAATCAATGCTAATGTTTTATAAAAACGAATATTTTTGTTTATGTTTGTCCACGGTATTGCACCAGTGAACTGGATTGCTATCCTACTTGGCTTAAATTAGTCGATTCATTTTCCTTCCATCACCCTGAAGAGCAGTTTTTTTAATTATTGATCTCATTTAGGGAAATCTTAAAAAAGGGTTAAAATTGTTTTAAAAACTTGTTGTAAGGTAGGCAGTTGGATTGCATAGTTTCAAACGGACACATGAACGGGACCATGTTCAGGTCTGTAAACAGGCAGGATCTACTTTTCCTACTTGGGCCAACCGTGAAATTAGTATACCGCATCTTAATTCAATGATTCCTCGGAGGAAACGATCAGGGGTAAACGTGGAATTATTGAAAACCATTTTGTCACGTCGGCCGATTTGGGGTGAAATCTGTCCTTGGCTTATGAAATCCATGTATGGAAATGGTAACCGGGATAAAAAGGGCCCAACTGGATGAGATCACTCCCTCCAATAAGAGACATATTGCCTTAGGTAAAATCTTGATGATTTGATCTCAATGATGCCCGATTAGAATGAGACCCGAGAAACGCGGGAGATGAAAAGGCCAAATTTGAACTCGTTCTTAAGAATGCTCATAAAAGATAATAATATTTAGAAAACTATGCTGTTAAACATAATTATTTATTCGTGTTTAAGGTACATACGAAAACATCATACGCTCCAAAAGATGGGTGTCTTTGTCATGCTATTAGGATGGCTATATTAATATCATAATAAAATACAAAGTGAATTAAACAAAAAATTATCTAAGGCATTCTAACAAGCTGTATTTCTTTGTTATCAAACCCTTCATTGTTTTACCTTTCTATATTCTATTTTTATTTTTAGAAAATTGCAATAATAATATGTAAAAATAACAGGTCATGTTAGAAAGCTTAGGTTGTGTGATCCACTGTTGGATTGGCGAACAGATTTGAAGTAAATAACATACAATCAATAATTACATGAGAGGGCGTCGGTGGCAGCAACGGTTTAGGCGTAAGGCGAAGGTCCCGGGTTCGAATCCAGCGGCCCTGCATTCGAACTCGTCATAATTACAAATGCTTTTTTTTTTTAATTTTTTTTTAATTTTTTTTTTTATTTTTTTCAAAAACACCGGCACCCCACCTTATATGACTTCTGCTGTTGCGAAACCTCGTAAAAAATAAATAAATAAATAATAATATTAATTACATGTGTGGAAAAAATTAAACATAGTGAATAAGGTAATCCATATATGAATTTAGTAGCCATAATTGAAAGTGATTTTTTAAATTAATCATATTTATTATGTAAGATCTTGGTTGAGATGAAAAAATTAAAATTAGCCTCACGAGCGGGATTCGAACCCACGACCTTTGGGTCAATACGCCACTGTTCTGTACAGTCACGATAGCTCAAGTGGTTAGAGTAGCGGAGTCAATACTCCGCTAAGTGGAAGGTAGTAAGTTCGAATCCCGCTCGTGACACTAATTTTTATAAAAAGTAATTAATTTAAATTGTGATTAAGATTTTTTCACTTGAGATTCTACGTTATATATAATAATTATTTTTTATATTATTTATTTAAATAATTATTTTCGTTTTATTATATTAAATACGTATTCTGTAAAATTAATGATTTAGAAGTACTTTTTTTGCTATCTTATTCATCCATCCACCGAGGTTGACCTCCAGGAGCTGTCAACGGCTAGGTCGTTTCAGCGCCTATCGCAATCAGTTGCTACATCCAAACTCATTCACTCTTAAATACATTCTTTTGTATTTACATACCGTTCACTCAGTCAGGGTGGTGGGGAACTCAATATTCCTGTATCAACCCTGTCACACTCATATTCACGCTAATAAATGCAAGTCATCTCAACACGCGATATGGACGACACAAAACTGTCATTACTATATACAATAAAACAGTCCTATTTCATCCAAGAATTGGAACAGATACTTGCAGCATCAAGCACAATTCTCATATCGGGTAGCATTCCGACGCGCTGTCAATACGGAGCCAAGGAATAGCATCCTCAATTAGACGGGACATATCGAGCAAGTATTTCTCTGCATGCCGGTCACATGCCGGGCCTGAGATAAAAATTAAGTCTCCGTGTGTTAACCTCGCATAGCCTATTCTTAATAGTATGATGATGACTCTGTTCTACGAATCAGCACAGCGAGGGCCACGTATCGACAGTGTTCTTGATTCGCGAGAAGGGAGTGTGGACAGTATTTTTTCACTCTGGTGCTTAGGTGGTAGCACTCTTAGAATTAATGTCAAAGGAGGCTGTCCACAGGGAGGCTGCTTGTCACCTCTTTTATGGTTAATTAAAGTAAACAGTTTAATAGAACTTCTGAATAATTCAGGTTTCTACAGTCAATTATTTTCAGATGATGGTACCATAATGCTCTGGGATGGAAAATGCCATGGATTGCTTTATGAGTAGTGTTGTGATAAAGGTTTATGAATCAATCCAGCTAAACTGGAATTGATATTGTTTAGTAGGAGAAGAACATTAGTTGATTTTAAAAATCCCTAGAATTAAAGTTAGTGGATTCAATCAAATTTCTTGGTGTGACGCTTGACAAGAAACTTGATTAGAAAGGTTATATTAATAACATATACAGGAAAGGCACAATATCAATGATACAATGTAGGAGAATTGTCGGTAAAACATGGGGCATCAAACCATGGGTAGCCAAATGGCTATATACTGCAATTATTCTACCGAGATTATTGTTCGCAGCTTTAGTATGGTGGAAAGATCTAGAAAATAATAGAAATAGTAAAAAATTAAGGTCATTTCAAAGACAGGCTGTTTGATGATGACAGGAGCATTTTCAACTACACCCACCCTAGCACTTGAAATCATAACCAATACCACACCTCTACACATTGAGGCTAAGGTCAGAGCACTAATCAGCTGCTTAATTAGCAATTAATTAACAGATTAATTAGCGAAGGCAGCTGGAATCATAAGTGCAATAACATATGTCGCTCGAAAATCTTACAACTATTGAGTAAGGTTAACGGCCAATTATTAAGCGTTAGTGATAAAAAGATTAAAACCCCTTCGGGGAAAATGTACTTTCAGGTAGTCACCCATGGTGAATATAATTATAGTGTGAATGATGACATTTGCAGCATAGACTGCTATACAGATGGTTCACTTATCAAAGGTAAAGGGAGCGGTGCAGGAATCTACATACCTAAATTAGGAATCAGCTCCCCTCTTGGCAATAACACCTCCGTTTTTCAGGCGGAAATCTGGGCCATGAATGTGTGTTGTAGAACACTTATGGAAAATAAAATTAAGGGAAAAGATATTAGAATTTTTTCTGACAGTCAGGCTAGTCTTAGGTCATCGGGTGGCATTCCGACGCGCTCTCTATATCGAGCCAAGGAATAGCATCCCTCAATTAGGCGGGACACATCGAGCAGCGTTTCTCAGCATGCCGGTCACATGCCGGGCTTTGGACAAAATTTAAGTCTCCGTGTGTTAACCTCGCATAGCCTATTCTTAATAGCATGATTATGACTTTTCTACGAGTCAGCACAGCGAGGGCCACGTATCGACAGTGTTGTTGATTCGCGAGAAGGGAGAGTGGACAGTACATTTTTTCTCTCTGGTAGTTGGCGTATACATTTTCAGCAAATTATGTTAAACCGACATTTAACACTATTATAATTAATTAGCATTATAAATAGGTAGCTGATGGAAATTACTAATATAAAACGAACATAATCAAATGAACTCAGGTGTGTGAAACCTTTTAATTCCTGTACGTAATTATTTCTTCGCCGATTAGTACTAAGATATTTAATTAAATTACATATCATAGCGTATCAGTTGTTAATAGATATTTTATTATTCACAGGCGAGGATGGAGGTGGACGACCTGTTTACGGACCTCGCCGACGGAAAAAAGCTCCTCAAGCTGCTCGAGATAATTTCTGGCGAGAAGCTCGGGAAGCCGAACAACGGCAAAATGAGAGTGCACAAGGTGGAAAACGTCAATAAAAGTCTCGCTTTTCTACATACGAAGGTAAGTTGTTTTTTTTACAAATCTGCCATTTATGGCCTTGTTTGGGATTTTTTAAAAATGTGGGGGTTGTTGAAAAGTAACACTCTTAGTAGACTTCCCGTTGGTCTATAACTCCATAAATCATAAAATAACTAAAACAGGGAAATATTATTATCAAATAATAAAGGGCTTGTCATCCAAAATAAAAAAAAAGTTTTGCGTTGTAGGTAAATTCAAAATATAAGTAAATTTCCTACCAAGAAAGATAGCATACCATTTCAAATTTTCAAACCATTTTATATTTTAATAAACATTTAATTTAATAAAAGTACTAATCACAAGATTATGGAATATTTGTTTATGGCTAGTTACCGAGTATTTTGTTATGAATTAATTTAATTTGATTCAAAAAGAAGTGGAACTAAGTAGAAAACAATTTCCATATTCATTGAGAGTGATTCAGATAGAGTAAACCTGGAATGTTTTTCAATAATGGAGTTTAATACATTGTTCTCTCTCTCTCTCTCTCTCTCTCTCTCTCTCTCTCTCTCTCTCTCTCTCTTTCTCTCTCTCTCTCTCTCTCTCTCTCTCTCTCTCTCTCTCTCTCTCTCTCCCGGTGTCTTGCCTCGACCAGTGTATAGGCCTGACGTCCTGCTACCTAATTTATAGGTGGTATTTTTGTCGTTCGCTATCATTACCCTCTGTCCGTCCTCGCTGAATTGGTCAACCAGACGACTACCCAAGACGTTAAAAACATTTCTCTTTCCATACATGTATTTATTATTGCATATTATTTGTTCTGATATGTGTGATAGATTCAAAGATTAGTTTTAAAAAATATGATTTTACAATTTATAAATTGAAAATAACGAGTGTGGGTGCGTGTTTTTGAGAGATCGTAAGATGATAATTTTGAAAACAGTCATTTCTCGCCTTGACCAGTGTATAGGCCTGACATACCTAACCAGAACTTTTTGTCGTTCCGTCTTCCTAACCTCGCTACCCCATGGTCTGTAAGATGACTAATAAAAAATGTTAAAAAAATGAAAAGGGTTCCTTCTCTGTATTTGTATGCATATTTATTCCAATTAATTATTTTTTTCACCTAAGGTTTTTGGTTGAGATGGAAAGAATAATTTATTAGAATAATTAATATGGTCAATTATGGCCACTAAACATATATGGATGTATTTATTATATCTTCTTTCCTTCCTCTCAGATCGATGGTTTAAAGTAAGAATCGGCACCGATTTTTCACCTATCACACCAATCAAAGCTGGCGTTCCACAAGGAAGTATCCTAGGCCCAATTATCTATATCATCTACACTGCTGACATACCCACACATCCGAACACACAAATCACAGCCTACGCGGACGACACCGCAATCTTATCAACACACTCCAATCCTATCCTAGCAACAGAAGCACTCCAACAACACCTGAACCTTATCACCAACTGGTGCAATCTGTGGCGGATCAGGTTAAACGAACAAAAAAGTTACATTTACGCTCAAACGACAAACTTGTCCATAAGTGCACATTTACAACAAAATAATACCACCATCGAACCAAATCCGCTACTTTGGGCTTTACTTAGATAGTAGACTCACTTGGAACCCACACACACGATTAAAACGGCAAAAACTTAACAAAAGATATGGACTACTCAGATACCTTCTTGGACCAAAATCAAAACTAAGCATACATAACAAACTAACCGCTTACATTTAAAAGCGGTACAACACTCATCAGACCTATTTGGATCTACGGAGTCGAGCTGTGTGGCTCGGCCAAATCATCCAATATCCAACGAATTCAGTCTTTTTCAATCTAAAGTTCTCCGCCGTATCCTCAATGCTCCCTTCTAAGTCACAAATCAAACGATCCATAAAGATCTTAAAATCCCTTTCGTGAAAGATCTTATCCGTACACGCTTCTTCACTTTTCACTCTAAACTCTCCCTCCATCCTAACTCACTCAGCCCTAACTCTTTCCTCAACATCTCACCCTTACAATCCTCCACGCCGTTTAAAACGACGATGGTCTCGTGACCTTCTATCTAACCCACGGAATTAACTTTAATTATATCTTCTGGCACTTTAAGATACAAAGCTTAGTTTTAAACATAATTTGACATATAAATTTATTAACATTCTGCAACCTATTCTTTCTCGATATAAAGAAATCAGGTCATTATGCTACATACCATCGGATGTATCCTTGGGATAACAAAAACAAACATAGAATCCTCCATCGCAGAATGGATCCAAACAAAACAAATAGAGAAGTGGATAAACTCTAGCGGTGCTAGACATAGTAAACTTATGCTGAAACAACCCTCCCCAAAATGGCAAAAACANGAATACAAGCCCCGCTTCCCGGCATCCCTTCCACCATACCATACCATACCATCGGATTGTCGACATTTATAATTTTATTATAGCATTTTTTATTTGGTCTGTTACTATGTGTTAAGTATAACCGGGAAAAACAGCTTTTGTTATACGTTCAGACAAAAATTTATTTATGTATGTTGACATAAACGTGTTGTACAAAATGGTGTGATTAAAAAAACAAAACACAAATTGTTAAAGTCGTGTAACAGTTGTCAGAGCAATGCAGCCGGTTTTTAAGTTAGAATTTGTTGGTAGGTAGTAAAACAGCACGCACAAAAAAAAGGACAATCAAGTGAGTGCATAAAATGCAAGGTGCAGACGTCGTGACAATGAACTTGAACCATCGTGAAGGTCTATGTTCTTGTCTCCGAACAAAACCATATTACTACTGTTTAGCATTTCGGAGTAGAAAATCAATCCGGGTTAAATAAGGGATCTGGAACGGGAATTCGTACGTATTTCTATGCTAATCGGCAGACTGGTTTTCGTCAAGGATGCGTTATTATCCGGGGAGCTGTTGGGCAACAGCGCCGAGCTTTGATTTCCTAGAGGAAATTTAAAACCAAAATTAAAACAATACTGGGTGGTTATCGGGTTAATTAAAAAAAAAATCTCAATTTATTTATGCTTTTAAAGCAAATACTGTCAGAATATTTAGATCTTGTTGAATTTTTTCTTAGCCTTTAAGAAGTGATCTATCAAGCATGACCTATGGCAAAACCGCAATGAAACGGACGCTTTTTCTGAGACCTTCACCGATTTCTGACTTGGCTTAGATCAAATAAAATCGGATTGCATTCCAACTGGATGTAATGTGCAATAAAAATATTATTTGTCTTGATGCAGGGTGTAATTTCATATTTTTAATTTTTTTTACCCTGAATGAATATCGGTTGGTGGAAATATGCTGAAGAACCGGTTTTTCAGATTATGGGTGACAGTTCGGCCACGTGGATGTTTGAGGCGATCGTCGATAACATCAAAAACCGGTACATTGCGTGACGACGAGACGATCTGTAACTTATAAAATCCGGGGCACATCTTTTCCCCCAACGTCGCGTGCCGCCAGGGCAATAACGAGAAACAGATAGGTCGGTGACCCTCCATTCACACTCAGTATATGCAGAGTACAACAGCGAATGTTTGGTGATTCGGAGGGGTGAACCGAATGGTCCCAAAGGCACAGCACGCAACTTAACGGTCCTCGGTGACAGGTTTTCTGGCACTGTTGACTGACAATAGTCCATATTCAATACGGTGAAAAAAGTAATTAATTTCTTCTCAGTACACACAATCGTCCTTTCTTTAATGATGATGAAGACGAACCAACCTTGTGTGAGCACCATTAAATTTTTTTCCTTTCATACACAATTCACGCATTTTCATTGGCTAATCTAATTCTAATGAGTGATCGTTTTTTTATTTGGAGAACAACAAATGAGCCACAAAAACCTAAAAATAAAACAAAGTACAGAAAAAAAGGGAAAGCAATCGGTATTAAATTCCTAGTAAAAAGAAAAATATGTATAACATAAGTTAACTATAGGCACAGTTGAAGTAAATCCTGTTCAAGGGCTGCCAGCAAATAAAATAAAAAATGCTTTGAGGGGAAAATTATTGAATGGGGGAAAACACAATACCAATCGTGGAAACAAAAACAATAGTTATAATAATGATAGTTACAACTTGTAAAAATAGATGAAACAAACATGAAAAACTAACAATTTTCCTTTTAAAAAGTAGGGTACTAATTTATTATTTATGTTTTTAGCCATATACTCAAAGAGCCAATATTTCACTTTTTTAGAAAATGTTTTATGATTTCTATCACATTTGATCGCATTAGGGACAAAATGGAATTGTAAAAATAGATTAAAGAAACATGAAAAACTGAGAATTTTCCATTTAAAAAAGTAGGGTACTAATTTATTATTTATGTTCTTAGCCATAACTCAGAGAGCCAACATTTGACTTTTTTAGAAAATTTTTTTAGGATTTACTTCACATTTGATCTCATTAGGGATAAAATGGAATCACTTAGAACCTGCATACAGAAAACAATCCAACATAAATGTTAATTTTGGTTGGGGCAACATGCTATTTAGAGGACATCTCAAATTATATTCAATTTTTTTATATTTCTAGATATAATTTCTGCCTCTATTCCTTAAAACTTCCTTAAGGTTCGGAAAACGTAAAGGTACGGTACCAGTAAAATTTGATATTTGAGAACAAATGGCGGGGAGAGTTCCAATTTGCGTTTAAAAACATTGCGCTCATAATTTTTTTCTGTATGACTGTTATTGGTTTTTAGAATTTCATACAAACTATCCCAGCGTACCATGTTATATTGAATTTATGATTGTATGAGTGCATAATATATTTTAAGAAGGGAAATGTTCCATTTGTTGATATCGTTTTTGTACTATACCAAGATGACCATTTTAAACCATCGCCCATAACTAGGCCTAGATATTTAATTTCATGGACTGGTTCACTTTAAAACATTTACCCCATAGAAGATTATCAGAGCATTGGAGAGAATAGAAGTTAACGTTTAAGCCAGTGTGAATCGATTTCCGGAGATTAAAGCACATTAAAATGAATTTACTACTAAACGATAA